CACTCACCTTCCCCCGCCTCCAGGAGCAGCCCCGGGAGAGCGCGGCCCTGCGAGAGGGTGAGGGTGCTCGCGAGCCCCGGCACAGACTGCCACAACCCTGCCCTCGGCCCTCTGCCCTCTGCCCTCTGCCCTGGCCAGAGCCGCTGCACGGCAGCCTTTGAGCAGGAAAGCAGCACCAGGAGGCAGGCGCGACAGCCAGGCAGGGGTCACCTGGGGCCAAGGACTGGCAGGCAGGGCAGGAAAGAGCCACCCAATGTGTCCTTCCTGTGGGGACCCTGCCCAGTTTTCTAAAATATATTTGTATTGATTTCAGAGAAGAAGGGAGAGAGGGAGAGAAACATCAGTGTTGAGAGAGAATCATGGATCGGCTGCATTTTGCATGCCCCGCACTGGGGATCGAGCCCACAACCTGGGCATGTGCCCTGACCGGGAATCGAACCGTGACCTCCTGGTTCCTAGGTCGATGCTCAACCACTGAGCCACACCGGCCGGGCACCCCACGAGGCTTTGCCAACACTGTCCCTAGCTGCCTTCACAGGTACGTCCTGAAGTTTTGGGGAGCGGCATTAAGCAACGTGGTCTCCCAGGAAACCCCAGTGCCCTGCTATCCACACTGAGGGCTCCGCAGGGCAGCCTCGGCCCTCACCTCTGCACTCCTGCTCGGGGTCACCCCAGGACCCATCCTCACACCGGGAGCACGTGCGGCCCCCAAATCCTGGCCGGCAGGGGCACTGACCTGTGACCTGAGGGGAGAGAGGCCGGTCAGCAGGAAGCGGGGCCTCCCGGGAGGGGAGGACAGAGCGCTCAGAGGCGCCCCTCTCCCGGCTCCGTCTCCCCGGCCAGCCCTGCTCCTGCGCAGGCAGCACCCCCTGCCTGAACCCAGGGCACCTCCCTTCCTGCTTCCTCGTGCCTGAGCCCTTGGCCAGCCCTCCCTTCCCACACGCCAGCCTCGCCTCCCACGGCCCCTCTGAGCTCTGACTCCTGGCCTGCTGCCCCTGCCCCCCGTGTCCTGTGTCGAACACCCCTGTCCACACCGTGCCCGCCTCCTTCCCGAGGACGCAGGACACACTTGAGGCCTCATCACACTTGCACGTCAGCGGCTGCCTCTCTCCTCCGGGCCCACACTCCCACCTCCTGCTCCTCTGCAGCCTCAGTCCTGTGCCCTCGGCCTCCTTCCCAGCCTCCCCCTCCGCCCTCCCACGCCCATTCCACGGACCATGACCCCTCACGGTGGCTCACCCACTCGCCAACGCAAGGTGCCCCCAGGGTCGGGCACATGCAGCTCATGGCGGCTCTCCCAGGCCCGGCCCCCGCTCATAGTTACTATCACACTCACACAGCGGCTGGCAGCACATCCACCCGGGGCTGGGGGTCACGTGAACCCCGCCAGGGGCACACACACACTCACACCGGGCACTGCCACGTGCTGTAGGGTCACTGGGTGGCACACCGGCTGTAGAGTGTGTTGGGCATGGCAGCTGCAGGGCTCGCAGCCCCGAGGCCCCCCCAGGTTCCAGAAGAGGGGGGCACAGCGGCTACAGTCCCGCCCCAGAGTGTGGGGGCGGCAGGGGCACTGCCCGCTGACCTGGTCG